CTTGGAACCAGGTATACACTGTTTGAGTGCAAAATGCTGGCTTGGTAAAAAGAGAGATTAATAACATGGCTAAACAAGCTTTAGCAAAGATATCCATGCTAATTGAGCAGATGCATATTAATCAAATGGGCTCCTCCCTTTTACATTTGATAAAGTTACTTTAATCTCTCTCTCTCTCTCTCTTTCATTTTTGTTTTTCTTGCTGAGGTCTGCAAAAAGCCAAAAATCCCTACCAGATTTGATATGACCATGCATTTCTGTCTTTAAGTTTGTATAATAACCCTTGAAAATAGTAACAATTTTGGAGATTTTATTTTTAAGAAAGTTTGAGAAAGTATTCCTCACATGGCAGTGACTAAGATTAGTCAATGTTCATAACCCTTGTGTGTTCTTTGGAGTTTGTTTTAACTCGTCAGCAAATGAGTCATGTTGAAATATTATTTTGCAATCTTTGTTCTTCAGAATATTAGTAGTGCAGTCATTTGGACTGATAAAACATGTTTGAACAACCTCATGAATCTTGTTTCTAATAGCAGGGTTGAATCACACTAAACATGAAAAATCATGTACCGGTATCTGCATTTTCAAACATGTTTTGTGGGAAGTATGTATACCTCTGCAATAATGTCAAAACTTCCAAAGAAGGAGGTTGTTCTATTTTGTAGTTTTGGCTACCTACACTAGGTAGGACCAGTTTCTCTGCCAGGGACCAACTCTGGTAAAAGAAAACCTAGAACATTTATCTTTCTTAGAGACCATAATGTACCGCCTAGAATCTGTAGCCCTCCCATGCATACAACCCAAAGTATGAATCCAGTACATAGATATCATAATAAAAAAGACCAACTAGAGAAAACACATGAAATCAACATTTTTAGAAGAATAAAACACACAAGAGAATAAGATAACAACAAGGAACCTTCCTGGTCATCCTCATCAGCAGAAGCCACACCTCGGGACCAAAATCAGCATTATTTAAAGAGTATTTAAAAGGAAAAGGAAAACTCTTGAGGACAATGTTCACATTTTGGAAGGGAAGATAGATGGTTTGAGAGAAGAGTGAAGGAATCCATTTATGCCAAAGTGGAAAGTCTTTCCCTCAATAGGGGTGGAAACCTCTGGCCCCCATTTTTATGCTGCTTTTTCATCAGTCCCCAAGTGGTCCCCAAGACCACTTCAGAGGTTTACCAGGGAGTTGCACTTAATGACCTACTTAGGATAAAGGAATTAGAAATTGGAACATTTACATTCCAATGACTTTCTGTCTACTCACCTAATGAGCATATCCAGATTAGGTGAGAAATGAAACCTCCCTGGAAGACATACCCCCCCAACTAACTAACCAACCAACTTGCTCAGACTGAAGAAGCCACTTGTATGAGCAGCAAAACAGTTCAAACCAACAAAATAAGTCCAGTTGCCATAACTCAAATTCCAGACAACTCTACTTGGATGACTAAGAATCCAAGGAGTATGTGAGATGTTTACAATCTTTGAACTGATTGCTGGTTTTGCCTTTAATCAAAGATGCAAAAGAGAGACAATAAAATTTGCACAATTCTAGCTGTCCAAATTAAAGAGTAGGATTGCAATTTCATATAAATCTTGCAAGAATGTATGTTGAATTTATACACTTGCCTTTTCTTAAAAATGTCACTTTGCCACTAAGGCAAAAAGAACCTGGTACTTCCCCCAATTACATCCATTTCATGCACAAAGCAGACTGATGACCAAGCTAATCGGACTTCAGTGCTGATTGACTCGTGTGCAGCAAGTACTGTATCATAGTATTGCTGGGCAGACTAAACAGTCAGCATACAACAACTTCCAGTGACTCACACTGCCTCTCCTCCCCAATCATCCATTGTCCCTTGGGACAAATGACTCACCCCACCTATTGGTAGAGCTAAATTAATAACTAAAGGAATGTGGCTTGATGCATGAAATGACATTTCTATGTAATTGCAATTACCAACAGTACTGTGCGACTTTTCTGTTTGTTCAGCATGAAAGCTATAATGAAAAGTTAAATGCCTGAGAATAATGGTGAATATATATTTTGGAGTCCTTTGAAAAAATTATTACATAATTCATATATACTGCAAATATTGTACTTATAACTTCAGACATAGGGGCAAAGGTCAAATACATAGACCTTTAATTTTATTTCATGCAGCCTTTAGCCTAATTTCAAAACTCATATGCCAAACATATTATCATGATTCTCATAAGATTCATCTGTCCTTTCACTCGGAATATATTTTTGTGAAAGAAAAGAGGAAGGAAAAAAAAGTGAGAGGGGGACAGTATGCTTATCCACTTTAAGCTCTGGATTAGAATTGCTCACATTCCAATTAAATAGTCTTTGCCTTCTCAATCCATTTATGCTGAATAGTTAGCCGTGTATTCTATTTGTATTGAATAAAGCTTTTCAGTTTTTCATGTTTCTGCTAATAGAGACATCTACCTGAGTCTATTTTTGAAAGCAATTTAGTACTTACAATATGGCAGTTCAGAATCTCATGGGAGATATGCAAGTATAACTTATTGTTCAACATGCTCTCTCAATGTATTTAAATGCTTTATATTTCACCTAAGATTTGCCAGAGATTTTGGCTTAAAGCACCTGCTCTATTTTATTTTGGGACAGGGTTGCCTAAGCAAGAGCAGTATGAAGATTTGACAAGAACAAAATGGATTTCATTGGGTGTTTTATTATGCTCCAGTGTGCATAACTGAATCAAGGAGAAGCTATATACTACTGCTGATTAGATTCTGGATAATTTCTCCAAGATAGTAGAATTATGCCTTCCATATCTAATTAAAAACCATTACCTTGCCTGCCAACCTACAAAGGCTAACTTCTCAATTAGCCATGCCTGGCAGCAAAACAATACAATGATTAAATATTACGACATCTGCTAATGGCAGGACAATAGCTGCAAGAGTCTTTGCAGCAATACTTTGTTCTTAGCCTTCTTCTTTTATTAGGCAGCTCTACAGAAAAATAATTAGTATTTTCTTTTCACTGATCAAGACATTCTCACCAGCTGTTTCTTTTTCAGTACAAAGTGAGGGTTATGGAAGAGACAGGCAAAGAACATCATCCTGTCCTTTACTACATTACCCAAAAGTCAAATTAACAATTTATTATAAACACATTGAATGACTATCATTTTTATCTCTTTAAAGCAGGAATGGGGAACTATGGCCATTTTATGACTTGTGGACTTCAGCTCCCCGCTCAGGAATTCTGAGAGTCAAAGTCCACAGGTTGTAAAGAGGCTATCACTCCCCATGCCTGCTTTAAAGGTACATTGATAAAGGGAATGAAGAGCTTCCAAAACCTAGGAAACTTAAAGAAAACGAAGATGATGGTAGTAATTGGTCAAGTTTTAATTCCTGTCCCTTTGATTTGCTTAGATTTTCCTTTGTGAAACAATGTAGGAAAAATTATGGAGTTACCAATGAATTATGGGGGGGTATCTGGATGTTTATCCATATATGTATTTCCATTTGCTCTGTAGATTTTTTTTTTTGTCCAGAAATCATGAATGATACTAGAGTTATGTTCAAGAGTAAAATAATTAATCAGGATAAGTCCTAAATATTGAGTACATTTATTTAAATGTACTTTTTCCCCCCCATTCAATTGTGTCCAATTCTCAGAGACTGCCAGGAAAGTTCCTGCAGCTTTTTTGACAAGGTTTTTCAGAAGTTGTTTGTCATTGCCTCCTCCCTAAGACTGAGAGAAAGTGACTGGCCCAAGGTCCTCCAGCTTTCTTTGTGCCTAAGGCAGGACTAGAATCCAGTCTCCAAGCTTCTGGCCTGATGTTTTAACTACTACCCCAAACTGGCTCTCTTGTTCAATGTTCAGCCAGTGTGTTTAAAATACAAATGCTGCTTTAGTAATTTCTATGTAGGGTACTTTTTTTCTAGATAAATTTAGATCACCCCATTAATACACTTTCCAAGCCTGTTTTAGTCATGTTCAAAAGTATTTTAAAACCTGTTTTTAATCACCTATAACTAGCAATCAGATATATATTGCTGACTGAAAGAGAAAACAAACATGAAACAAAAAAGCAGAGCAAAGGAAAACCTGAAATTATTTATTGCAATAATAATAATAATAAAGTTGGAAGGGACCTTGGAAGTCACCTAAACTTCTAACAATTAAATCTTTTGATGTCACCTCCTTTCTTAGAATCAAGGATGAAGACTGCGTTTTGGCCAAAGAGATTAACTAATTTCAGGTAACTAAATTGCCAGCAATATGTTCTTGGTGAGCAAACCATTTTACTGCACTCATATTGACCCAGATCTGCTTGTCTGGTTTTTTCCCAATTAACACATCGAAAAACATACATATACAGGCCCTCAAAAGTACACTGTAAGGACTCTAAACCTCCTTCATGGATCCTATAGGAAGCATTTTAATGTAAGACTATACTCAGAAGAGCTATTTTACTAGTTTTGTAAAATAAAGGGGTTAGCTCTTCACTAAGCAAGAGATTACGTTTTCAAAAACAAATCCCAAAGTAATTCAGTTTTTAAAATAATCAATGTTTATAACCGTGGTGCACTATAACAGGAAAATGATTCCTCAAAGTTATGAAAACTCCTTAAATCTGTATGAATGAATGAACAAAATATCAGCTCATATATTCACCCAGAATTCTTCTTTTTTTTTTTTTTTGGTATTTCCTTTAGGATAATTAAAATGACAAAAGCATTAGTTTTATTTAGACATATCAACTGAAACTGTGTAAGATGATAAAACTGCAACAGCATGTGAACTGATCAGATCACAGTAATTAGCTAATCTGAGTGGTATCTGTTTACATATATTGTGCTTAATTCAACATACGTTGAAAGAAAAAGGTCAAAGCTACAATGATTTTCAGTGACCTGGGAGAGTGTGATATTGCAAAGCATAGTGTATCAAACTCCTACGAAATAGGGCAGGAATAAAATAACTTAGAAAAATACCTTAGTAAAAATGTACATTGTGCTTTTAATCTGATTTGCATTACAATTTTTTTTTACAGGCAGATGGATTTTACTGTATCGTTTTATATAAAATTGGCTAAATGCAAATACAGTATAGATATACAATATTGAGATATAATCCTTGATAAATCAAGGATGAAATAAGATTGACAGAAATTACTATGCAGTAATTGGTGAAGATTCTAATTTAAAAATGTTTCTGTGTAGGAATCAAACCCTGCAACAGTTAAGAACCATTTGGCTGTATTCCTACCATCTACCATCTACCATCACTGAAGCTGATAAAATCCACACAATCAGAAAATTCTAGAAAAGATTTACATTGTGCAGTCTGCCTTTTGCTTGGATTTTTCACTCATCAACTCACATGTAAAAACTGTTTCCGCATTTTCTTTTCTGTTAAATGCCTTTTGATTGACAACGATATTCAAAGCGCAGCAGAGTTATTATATAACTGAACAACTTTGCAACACTTGAAAAGGATGTTAACTGTTAATTATTTTTCTGTATTGTAGACAGAAAAATGGTAAAGCCTGAGTAATAAATAAGCTCCAGCTACAACCTCAAACTGCATCTATTCTTACCAGTGAACATTAGTTAGAACATAAAAAAATAAGCAGGTTTTACAGAAGTTATCTTTATTTTTACACAGAAGACATTGTATTGTTCATGTAAAAATGCTTTTAAGATATGAAATTATACAGTATGTTTAAACAACTACTTCGAAACAGAGTTGCAAAAAACAACAACTCATTTTAAGTTGGAACATACTTTGCTGGTAAATTGTGATACTTTTTATTCTATTTTTGTAATTTAATACATAAAATATCAACTTTACATACTAAGATTTAAACAAGCATTATTTCAGTCTTTATTTTTTCCCAAATGAGAAATTAAGGACTACCATAACTTTTAACATTCTTTTAAGGGAGATTTTCCTTATTAGTTAATCTGCCAAAAATGCATAGGAGGAGGAAGTTTATGTCCCACTCTAGCCTAATCCATATCTCTCAGCATTGCTGTATGGGAAAAAATCTGGATAACAACCAACAACTGTCTTTTAGAAAGAGGTTTGTCTGCTATTGACCTCTGATTAAAAACATCCTAATTTTAAAAAATACAGACACTTTAATCTTTGCACCCCATAGTAATGAAGAAGTCTTAATATCATAATTAAAATATTTGCTAGTACTGTACTAGGCAAGTATAAAAAGCAGGAGGAAAGCAGAGAAAACCCATATCTAAGCTACTTAAAAACCAGAAACTATAATAATATATGTACAAAACTTTGCCTGAACATTCAAAGCACCTCAAATATAGTGCAATACTAAGTATTATCCCTATATTACAACTTCAGGGCTCAGAAATGAACCAATTTTATGACCAAGAAAGCTTACCTGAAGATGTCTCAGTCCCAATTGTACGGGTTCTTATCAATTTTCTTTATACCGAGTCTGATTATGAATTTCTATTTTATATTTCATACTTAGTACATTATTTTCTTTTTTCCCCCCTTAATTACAGCCATAGGCTTTTGCAATGACCGTAATTTATAAACTGACAAAAATTGGACTTCAGTTGCAATAAACTGACACAAACATTGACAAAGTTTGATAAGGAGGAATAAATTCAAACCTAATTGCCATGTTAAGACAATGTAGCATTCTTTAGAACATAAATTATTCTGGAGGGTTTTATTTTCTGTAATAGCTATGAAGAGGATACATTTAAATTATAAATGTCATATAACTGGGAGGAAGGGGAAGGGGCAGAAGATGGAAAACCGTAACTGCCCTCAATGGCAATACTCACATAACAGTTAAAATTTACATGGAGTACTACATAGTGCCCAATACTGCACCCTCCAGTTATACTGGATTAGAATTCACAGAATTCCCACCCAGAATTTTTGCTTAAATGATGTAATAGGTTGAGCAAATAACTAAGCTAACTATAGTTTTGTTGTTTTTTTAAAAAAGTTTCTCAAAACTTACAAAGTAACCCATTCTCTGTTATCTCTGGAAAATTTATTAAGAATGAAGCCTTGATACAGTCCATTTTTCTTGCTTCTACTCAATCATATTTGTTTTGCCCTTAGTTTACAAACATATGAGTAAGCTAAAATTAGTAAAGTCTATCATATTAAAACCAATGCAAAATGCAGCTACTATTAACTACTTCCACTACTTTGAGCATGGCTTAGTCACATTAAGTGGTCACGTATGGGGCAGACTGTGAGATAACACTATTAAATTTCAGAAATTGGAATCAAGTTGTTTAATAAAACCTTGACCCATAATTTATTTCCTATTTTTCCGAGATGTTTCTTTTAATATTTAAGATATTAAGTGCATCAAAAATAACAGTGTTTTATGCTTTTATATCCAATTATATAAGACCTGGTCATTTCCTACTGATGCACTTAAATGTTCATATCAGGAATACAATGCAAACTACTATTAGCAACAACAGCAATAGCAACAACAACACTTTTCTCTGAAACTACTTATGTTTGCTAGTAAATATAGACTATCAGAACTTTTATTTATCTCTTATTAAAAGATCTGTAAAAATGTATCTGGACCCAATTATATTTAGAGCACCTCAATCAAAATTAATTAAATAAACAGGTTATAATTTTTCCAATTATTTAGTTTAAGGAAGACTAGATTCAGCTCTATGTTTAGGCTGTACCTGTGAAGGTAAAGCCTTCAGTCTATAAAAAAGTACCTTCAAATACTATATGCTTTTTGTCATTTTTTATGATTATAGATTTCTAGCACCCTATGTATCTTTCCAATTCTCTAACTATAGGTGTACAAATATAATGAATCTATATTACACCAGAATAATAAGGATCATGTTAGTTCACACATAAAAATTGCAAAGCATGATTCATTAGATAAAATGAAGAGTCAGCATACATTGTTCCTTAACCAGTCTGGCTCTGTATTTTGCTTTTGATGAAAGAAAAGAAAATGGAGTGCTGATATTAGTAGTTTTTCCACTCGCAAGTTTTACCTCTGCTTATGATGTGATTAAAAATTACACTAAAGGAAAGTATTCGTCAGGTGAACAACAAGGCAAATAAAACTTTGCAATTAATTTAAACACTTGGGGGAAATTGTTGCAGTTGCAGTTCTGTGCTTAATTCTGCAATGATATTAAGTACATCCCTTTATGTTAGCTATACTGTTAAGATTATCAATGTATACACTAAATCATTTCTGCTTTTCATTCCGTGTATTCTCTAATTAAAAAGATTTATTTAAGAGAGACGTTTCATGGTATATAAGCAATTTCTTTGTTAAAAGATCTTTATTAGTCAAAAGAACAACATCCACATAAAAGGAGGAAAGCATTAGCAGGGGAAAACCAACCTTTGCCAAAGTACCCTTGCCAATCCCCACTCCAAATCCTAAAAAAGGATGATAAAGCCTAATTATGCTCAGTGATCAAAAAACACTGGGTTTTAAGGAGAAAAACACAGGAAAGCTAGAGGTTATATGAATGGAAAGGAAGTTCTTCCAGAAAAAAAATGGTATCTTGATCTGAAAATAGAAAAGAATCTTTGTTTTCATAAGATGCAAGTAATTAATAACTGCAATCCTTTGTCATTTCTCCCTATAAAACTAAAGATTTAGCTAAGTTAAAGAAAGCTTGCTGACACCCAGGCAAAAATAGCTAGCTTAAGGCAAAATCTCTAAAAGTAGGAAATAATGAACCTGGCTTTCCTACGGTCAATTTCTCCAGTGGGGATAGTCTAGATGTGGAAGGGCTGCAGCTCCCAGAATTCCTAGTTATCGTGGTTGAAACCTGAAAATTATGGGAATAGCATCCCCAAATAATCCCCATGAAATGCAAAAAAATAATAAAACTGTTGCATTTGGAAAGCAAGTTAATTACAAATTGACGTTACAGCTAAAGAGAGTCTAAAACAAAACAGAACACAGCACCTGAAGTTTAGATACAGAAACCTTAGTCCTGACAAGCCTAATGTTAGACTGTACTTTAGACTAACCACACCCGTTACAGGAAAAACAAGAAACATAAATCTGGTGTATTCAAGCTTCGAAATAGCTATTCTGCATAAAAGCAGTGATGATTTTCCACCCTGTCATCTATCTCTTCACGCAAGTTTCTGCTAATGTCCTAAACTTTGGTTCCAACTGATCTAAAAAGTCAAGTGCCTCTTCTTCTTGCTGATCAGTACAGCAGCCTACAGAGCCTGCTGGCGATCCTCTTCCTTCATAGTTATATGAAAGAATATAGTCATCGGAATGCTTATGCTCTTCATCTTGCCCACACAGATATACTTTCTGCACAGGAAAAAGAAAAAAAAGTCATTTGTTTCTTTAAACTAACCAAAACATATCTCATAAAATAAATTTCATTGATTTACCTTTTAATGTTTAATTTTTAATCAGAGTGTGTCCTCTAATGGGTTCCTATATATAAAAAATGCACATGATTGGTCTATATCATTCAATCTATGAAGACTTTAACAAAAAAAAATCAGATTCCTACTGATCACAAATATACAACTTAGCATTTCTAAAGCAATTGCAAATAAAATTAAATAATATTTGTATATAAATTACTAATGCTATACTGATGGATCATATTGGCTTAGATTTATTATTGATTTATTATTCTATAATGAGGGCACTCAAAGAGGCGTAACGGGCAAATTTTTAAAAATTATTATAATGGGTCAAAGAAAGAAGAACAAATAATATGACAAGTGGGGACAAAACAAAGCAAACAGACATTACAAATCCCAAGTCCAAATAAACAATCTTTCTAAACAATATGGTAATTCGTAAACAAAAGCAAAAATATTTCACCTAAATCCAGAGACAAGAAAGCAATTAAAAAGAAGATTCTATAAACAATAGAGAATTCAGTGAGATCGCAAATAATTTGTCAGACTGTATCATCCCACAGATGTAGACAGTTAAGTCTAACTCTAAAGATACATGCTGAAGAAATTGGTTAGCAACCTTACCTCAGTCAGACGAGGGTGTGTGAAATTCTGCCATTCTGAATAGTTGTATCTGTAAGTATCCATCATGGACTGCCCATATCCCCTTCCAGATTCTAAAGTATGATGGCCTGCTCCTTTGACAGATTCCAAGGTGTGCTGACCTCCTCCCCTAACCGAATCCATGGTCTGGTGTCCTCCTTTGACCATTTCGAAACTTTCCTGTCCCCCTGTTTTTATTCCAGAAGCAGCACCGTGATCAGAGGTAACTATGTTTCCTGTTTTCACAGGAAGTATATTCGGATCCTAAAAAGGGGGGAAAGGGCAAAGCTCTTCTTTAGAATGTTTGAAGAGAAAGCGATGAATATTTATTTTACACCTGGTTTAGATATTAGAAGAACCATAGAAACAAAACATACAAAATTTTCCAATAGATATTCCACTTACAACATGTAGATTTACTATGTGAACAATTTATTAAGCATTCCTGAAGCTGGTTAGTTGCAAGTAGCTGTCATTGGTTTAAGTTCATCACCCTTGTGTAAGAAAGAATCTGGAGAGCTCTGTGATATTAGATTAAATAATTACATCTCATTTCTACCAGGCTGCGTAGATACTTGCAGTCATCACATACAACCCATGATAGAATACTAATTTTGATTCAAAAATCATAATCCAGTGGAAACTGAAAATAGATTTTTCACAATGCCATATGCATCAGAAAACCATTACTGAAAACGTTGCTCAACATGGGCAATTCTATTTAAAACAGGGCAGTATATGCTTTAGAAAATAACATCTTTGTATTATTATTCCTGAGCCATTAAAATAATGAAATAGCAGACTCCCATGCAATATAAGAATCTAATTAATACTCAGAACATAATGATTAAAAGATATGCTTTTCAAATTAAAGCCATAATAACTTTTTAAAAAGAAGCCTAATATTAATGGGAATATTACAAAATATTTGTTGAATCCCACCCATAAAGCTATGGCTTTCCCTTCCAGGCAGTGTAAGGAATGAGAATTATCACAGCTGTCATTGCCACCAATCTCCAAGATCCTTAGGAAGAACCCAAGATTGCATCAGAAGCATCACAAAAGTTGTGGTTGTTACTGTTGTTATTATTATTTTATTTTTAAGGGGCTGTTTAAAATTTCTCTTCCATTGCAAATTTCTCTATCCTAAAATAGAATTCAGAATTTGGGAAGGCTATTTATACGCAGCTGAAGTTTAAATAGTTTTCTTAAAATTTTTTTATTCTTTTAGTGTATCTTCTTCACTTTCTCCTTTCCCATATTGCCCTGTGACTGACTTGCATCTTTCTTTTAACACCTGGAAGCAAGGCTGCTTAGACAAGCTGGCTCTATTTACTCTTGCAAGCTGTCAGATAACAAAATTCTAGCTTTAACTCCAATCAGATAATTATTTTCTTCTTTTGTTTTAGCAGCTTCCAGTATCTGCTAGACACTTAATCCTCATTATTAACCTGCTTACTCTGGTGGTGGAGGGTGAAAGAAGAGGTTGTAGGGCTGTAAAATGTGCCCAACCGAATCTACCCCTTTACTCCGGCTCACTGTGGCAGATAGAGGAGCAGCCCCTGGTGCTGTAATTAATAGGGATAACTTAAGTAAGTATGATATTATTTGTTACAGACTTAGCACATGTTTTAATAGCCTCCTACTTCTGTATCCATCCTATCAACTCTAAATTAATCAGCAATATAAGAATTTCAGAAAAGGCACAAGTACTTCCCAAGCATCATAATATGACTTACCATCACTTCTTCTCCAGGTGCTTCAGTATTAGATATAATTAAATTCTGATTGGCCAAATCATCATGGACATGCTTAGTGCCAGCCATGGGTGCACCACCAAAACATCCACAAAGCGTGATCAGGATTACTAGAGAAGGACAAAAACAGTGGTAATGAGATAGCAGCACATTTAATTGTTAGTAGTATTTATTACATCCACTATCCATCAAAGATAGTGTTAACTCCTCTGTATCTCTCTAATGCAGCCATTTAACTCTCTAATTCTCTAAGTTTTCAGAAGCTGCATGCTATCTATTATCATGTAAAATTTTAAAAGTGAGGAGAGCCAGTAGACTAAACTATTATTTGCCACTACTCAGTTTTCCTGTCATTCCTCAGTTTTGTAGTTTTCCTGTCATTCAAACTATGAGAGCCATTCCTTCAAAAAATTGTACGTTAATATGGTCTACATACCCTGGAACAAGAGTTGGTCTATTGGATGAAAGGACTCACCTTCCCTCACTTTTCCAAGGCATGGGAGCAAAATACGAGAGCTTGGCAGACAGGTAGAGCAAAGGTGCAGGCTGAAACTTGCCTATGCATTCAATGTGTAAGAAAATTTACTGTTTTAACATTTGGCTGGCCCACAGAGCCTCCTAATTTGGAATCATCCGTCTAACAATATGCCTGAAGTTGATTTAAAGGGGGGTGGGGGACTTCTTCAGCTCAATCACCATTGGGAATTTGACCATGTGTAGCCTTATATAACTATATTTAGTTTCAACTACCTTCAAAACAGGGATAACTGAAAATCTATCTTCATGGTCAATCCAGATTCAGTAGCATTTTAAATAAATAGTAGTTGGCCCTGATTTATAGTGCTTCTGTACTATAAGGTGAATGGCTTATATTGACTGAAAAAGAAATTCTAAAGCTTTTTAAGAAGAAAATTGCTCAACTGCGATGTACAGCAGACCGGTGAATCTGTTATTAACAATGTATACAATCTCTGGCCTGTTTAAATATGAATCCACTATTTTTTAATTTTACAGATATGTAAACTGTTGTGTTATATATGTTGATGTAAAGTAAAGAATGAGAGAAGGAGAAGATTGGGATACATATACAATAAAAGCAGCCTTTTTAAACAGCACATTTGATTCCCCTACAGCCCTATCTACGTACATCACACTGACCTTCATTCATTCATAAAATTTATATTGCCACTTACTCACACATGGCGACTAAAGGCAGCTTACAGGACAAAAACACAATATAAAAGAAATAAAAATAATAAAAAATGAAAATAATAAAACAATAAGCCCTTATCCCCCACCCCATCCCGGAGACAACACACGTTCATACCAGCCCTTTAATGGGCTCCATCCTGTTCAGGGCTCCCAAGACCTGATGGCAGAACCACATCTTTGGGGCCTTCCGAAAGAGAGTGGGGAACAGTCTAATTTCCAGAGGGATGATGTTCCAGAGGGAGGGAGCCACCATTGAGAAGGCCCTTCTTTTGGGTCCCACCAGATGTATTTCCTTAGGGAAGGCATGTCAAATTGCCGGCCCGCGGGCTGGATGCGTCACATCCAAACCGCGCCCACCCCATTGCCAGCAATGGGGAAAAAGTCGCGAAAAGTCACGTGATGTCATGCGACATCGCAAGTTCGACATGCCTGCCTTAGGAGATTGGACCTGCAACATTCCTTGCCTCCCCACTCTAATGGGTCAGGTAGATGTGATTGGCAAGAGATGGACTCTCAGATAACCTAGTCCCAAGCCATGAGGGGTTTTAAAGGTGACAACCAGCACCTTGAATTGCATCCGGAAGCAAATCGGCAACCAACGCAGTTCCCACAGGAGAGGTGATACATATGCACACAGAGATCTGCACAAAACCATGCAAGCTGCTGCATTTTGCGCCAACGGATGCTTTTTAAGGGAAGCATGTTGCAATAGACAAGGTGGAGGTGACTAGGGTATGAGTGACTGTGAGTAGGGATTATTGGTTCAGGAAAGGGCGTAACTGATGCACAACGAGCAGTTGTGCAAAGGCCCTCCTGGCCATGACTGCCACCTGCTCTTCAAGTAGGAGTCATGAGTCCAGGAGAACCCGTAGATTATGCACAGGATCTGTTTGGGGCAGTGCCAACCCATTCAAGAGGAAAGGTGGCAATTCTCCATGGACCAAAGAACCCCAAACCCAAAGCCACTCGACCTTGCCAGGGTTCAGTTTCAACCCATTGCTCCCCATCCAGCTCCTAACAGCCTCCAGGTGCTACGAAAGGAAAATCACAGCATCGCTTAGAGACATGCAAAACAGGGTACAATATTGGAGCATCTAAATAGATTGAAGTACAGTTGGAATTTTTTTTTTTACTTGCTTCAAATATTTCAATGGACAAATTTATCTATAAATAAATTATACATAAATCAGCTAATATTGATTTGCAAACTTAAGATGTCAAAAGCATTCCATAATTCAATACCTCGGTTTTATAGTCAAATGAAGAAAAAGTAAACTTACATAATAGCAGCAATGATCCCAAAATCATAGCAAGGATGGCCCAAATACCAAGAGTAACATCTGGGTTCAGAAGTGGTTCAAATGATTTTGGTGGGTAAATACAATCTTTAGGAGCTATACAATCACACAGTGTAACTTTGACTTCAGAAACCCCAAAGTTGCCTTCATTATCAGATACTCTAATAGGAATTGTGTATTGGCCAAAGCTTAATGCATCTGATGGTTCCAAATATACTGATCTGTCTGCAGAAAAAAAATATTAAAAAGGAGAGAATATTATTTCAAATGTATTATTAGGTCAATTGTAAAAAAAACAGATTTTAGAAATGAGCACTTACCATCATTTTCAGTTAATCTCCAGTTTGGAGTGTCTCTTTCAGGAATGGAAAAAGTAAAGGGAACTGTGTGAGGATCTATATCAGCATCCACAGCAGTAAGACAAATTGGTTTTCTGTCTCTGCATATTATATACTCTTTTTGAACAATGACTGGGTAATTATCGTTCTCATCTAGTAGATTAACTACAATTGTTCCAGTGCCTGATTTGCCACCTAAAAAATATAAGCAATTTAGAAATAGATTAGAAGCTCTTGTATTCCTGGGCTCCCCTATTCAATTATAATCCAAATCTAACCATGATTAGCTTGTGAGTTAAGTACAAGTTTAAATAAAGGAAAAGCTGCTTCCAGGAATGAATACCACGTTTAAAAATTTCACAAGGCATTTCAGGTTGACTTTTCAATTTTGCATATAATCGCTAGCATTAGGAAAGATATTACTTTTACAATCAATTTAAAAATATATAATTGCCTTCCTTTGCAATATAAGAAAGACCATGATTCTCTTTTTCACATGGAAGACTGGGAATCTGAAGAGAAGGCCATATACTATATCATGTAAACAGGGTGACATTTACAAAGGCATTAACACAATGGCTGTATGTAGCTCCTCCAAAACCCAAGTAAATTAACACCTGCTTAATTGTCCAATATTTTGTGCCCTTTATAATTTTAAAGTTTTTCCAAAATAACATTAATGATCATTTTCTATATATTGCTTTTAACTTTGCTATACACTGCACAAAGACACTTGTTTGTGAACTGGGCAGCCATGTACATATGACAAAAAATAAATAATAAACAAATAGGAATACTATGAACATGACAACTTTAAAAATTGTTTGGGCTTATTTCAATTATAACCATGGAACTTAGATCTTTGCTGTGCATTTTTACACTAAAGGCAGATTCTCTTTTTTTTAGGAATCGTTGTACAGATAGTCCTCAACTTACAAACATTTATTTGAAGTTTGAAGTTACAATGGCACTGAAAAAAACAACTTACAACCGGTCCTCACACTTATGATTATCACAGCATCTCCACAGTTGCATGAACACATGCTGGACAATCGGCATGTATTTACAATAACTGCAATATCCCAGGATCATGCGATCACCATTTGCAATCTTGTCAACCAGCTTCCAACAAGCAAAGTCAACAGGGGAAGCTAGATTCACTTAATGACATGATTCACTTAAAAACTGCAGTGATTCACTTAACAATCTGGGTCCTCATTTTACTGACCTCGGAAGGATAGAAGGCTGAATCAACCTTGATCCGGTAAGAATTGAACCGCCGAACTGCTGGCAGTCGGCAGTCAGCAGAATTAGCCTGAAATACTGCCACCACTGGCAATCATGGCAAAAAGGTCATAACATTTGGTGCAACTCACTTAGCAGCCACCTTGCTTAACAACACAAATTCTGGCCTCAATTGCGATCATAATTACCTATACTGTCAAAGACTACCTGGACTGAGAATGCCAGATGATAGTAGCTGGTGTAAGTATATAGTGATAAGAGAACTTTGGTGGTTAAAGAAAAAACTGGTGCCACTGTTGTATTAAATCCTTTTCACTTTCACTTCAACAGCCTAAATTTTGAGTTGAAAGTGTGACTAAGTGCAAAATGAGAGAAAATTAGTATCTTTGATTAAGAAAGGTAAGAACATGTGTCAATATTCAAAAAGTACAACACACTTGGCATTTAAGAATGGTAGAAGTAATAACAGATCATGTTATTGATTATTTGGAAGAGTGCATTTGTTTAGGATTAGGCATATCAATATCTAGACATTGTTAGTAACAGAGAAATACTGCAAATGTTCTTATTGGTTCTTACAGTGCTGAAAGAAAACCATCATTTCTTAAAACAATAATTAGATAGCAAACTTGATTTTTATGATTCTACAAGAAAAAGAAAATTGATTAGATTAATAACTTGATGCGTTTTGTCAATTTTTGCAAGATGAGTAAATTATATGCATATGAATTAAATGAGCTTTAAAAGGACACATATGAATATTTGAGCTTTTAAAAGCTATTTAGTGCACAGTGATGTCTGCTAAGAGGGTACAATACAAATTCTTAAAAATATGAATCTCCAAATTCAGTTAGCACTAGCCATGTTAAATCACGGCTTCAAAAAGATTTAACACAAAAGAAAATACATTAATTCAGCTGCAGTGTTGGGATTCTTACTTAATAGTAAAGAATAGTGTGGTAACATATTATGAAGGATTTCTCCCAAAGTGTTCCCCTTTCTAGTACCAGTGCATAAATAAAGCAAGAAACGTAACATTATGTATACATCTGGATTACAGCCTTCCTATATCCAAACAAGCACAACTCCTAAAACAAAGAAGAGATCATGGGTGCATATTCTGGTCACTAGAAACATAATGCTATCAATTAATAAATAATGCTGAAAGCTTCCTGAATGGGCTTGGCCTATATTAGTAAAGAAGAAGTGGTGAGTTCCTGATTTAACCATAGTTAAGCAAATCAGATAAATAAACAACAGATTGGGGAAAAAACTCAGAGAAATTATTTGCAATCAGGTTGTTCTACTCATTAAGCAAGAGTATGTTTATAATGATCCTGATATAAAGCAGGAAATAAGTAGAATTGAGAAAAAACCAAAAAAAAAAAAAAAGCAGCATTCCATTAATAATGGAACAAATAGATTCAATCCAGGCAGGGAGAGTAATTTTGAAATAATCTCTTAAAAAACTCATTTCACTATATTGTCTGTTCAAATTCATCTTTTTAAACATATTTAAAAACAGACTCTGGAGTAATGAATGTAAATACTGCTAAAGTAAAAATATTTTCATCAGTTTTTTTCAAAAAAATAAAGCCTAGTAATAAATACAGGTAGTCCTCATTTACCAACTGCCTCATTCAGCAGCTAACTGAAGTTACAACAATGCTGATAAAGTAAGTTTATGGCTGGTCCTCGAACTTGCAGTCATAGCAGTGTTCCCATGGTCACATGATTACAATTTAGGTGCTTTGCAATCAGCATGCATTTATGGTGGTTATAGCGTTCTGCAGTCACACGACCACCATTGCAACGATCACAGATGGCTTTTGACAAGCAATGATGGCTTAGCTGTCAGGAAGTTGCAAGTTGCACTCATGGAATGTTGCACTTAATGACCTTAAAAACTGTGGTGGAACTGACATAAGTCCAGCACAGTCATGTGACATTCCACTTAACCATATCACTTAGTGATGGAGTTGCAAGCCCCAATTATAGTTTGTAAGGACTATTTGTATATCCAATATATTTGAAATTTACATGCTGCTTTATTTTTATGTTTCAATCTCATTAATACTCCTGTCATTTCTTTAAGGGAGGATCTTTCATAGGAAATCGTAATAAATATATAGCAGAAAATGACTTAAAGCATATAAGATTTGTGGCATTTCTACTCACTTCGGTCTGTTGCAGCAACTGTTACATTACATTGATGTGATGGTAAATCTGGTACATCTCTGTCTAACATTTTAGCGATGCTGATCTGACCTTCATTATTAATGGCGATCCAGTTACATGGGTCCTTTATTATTCTGTAACTGCAAGGGGAAAAAACACATTAGAAACAAACATATGAAATGGTATTCATAGTATCTTAGATATCTTTAAACTGTTTGCAAAATAGGCTAGTGCAAATGTATCGTTACATCAGTTCCACAAAACATCTTATTCAGGAATACACTTTTATAGTAAAGGGTAACATAGACAGAAAAATAATTATTTTGAATTTTTTTCATAAATTAGTCTCAAATATTCATGAAGCAGAACAACAGTTTTCCTAAATTGGGAAATATCTTAATAGGAAAATAAGACTTCCAGATCTGTAAAGAAGCTATATGCCAATAGCAAAAGAAGTGCACATATAGATAATCTCACCAGTAGGATGAAGATGGAATAACATCCTTATCTGAAAATGAGGTTTTTAATTCAGGATTTTAAGGGCACCCTAATCCCCACATACCATATTTGTGCAACCAAAAGCCAAATTTCTGGGGGTGTTTTTTTAATAACGTGGGGAGTCAAGGTTTCAATCATCCAATCATGCCTACCATTTTGATACCACTAACCTCCATCATCCTGCTCTGGAAGGAAAATTCTCCTCTTTTAACTTTTAAACTTTCTTTCAATCCCCCTCCCCCATCCCAAGCTGAATTTTGGATCATGGAAGGCTGTTAGAAGATTTGAAGGATGAAAATGGAAGCAGTTGGTCTCTTCAAAGTTTGCTACTTCCATTTTCACTCTTAACACACACCCAATTGCCTCTGCCACTTCCTGTAAGCTTTCCAACAATCCTTCCAGTCCTCCAGCTGCATCAGAAATTTGCCAGTCTCTGCTCTATATCTATAATACCATAACAGCCAAATTCGTCCATAACAAAAAGGACAAGAAAGTGAATTAAGCAACAAAGTACAATACCGTATGTCTTCACTATTTCCGGTCTCTGGATCACTTGCGGTGTACTGGCCAACCTCTGTTCCAACTTTCAAACATTCTTTTATATCCAAAATATATATTTTAGGATTGAATTCAGGCCCTTCATCCACATCTCGTACTTTAACAACAACAACACAAGTACTTGTAGAAATTGGTCCTGAATTTGGTGCCAAAACGTAAGGTACTTCATTATTCACAACAATTTCTAATCTTCTCTCCTTGGTTTTTTCATAGTCCAGACCCTAGAAAATGTATTGCAAGATTTGCTACAATTTAGTAAAATTCCATTCTAAGTTATAATCATGAAGCACAAACCAACATTAAAAAAAAACAATTTCCTGTTTAGCAACAATTTGAGGTTTTGGAAAGACAGGAAGCAAAATCAAATCTACCTTTCTCCTTTCTTTTTGCTGATTATAAATTCTGTTGAAGAAAAAATGTTCGTTTCCATGCTTCCATTAATACAACAAACTCAGAAAAAATGGCAACACAAAATCTCTAACAGTGCTAATTTAGAATGCCATTAACTATTTAAGTATCCTCATCTCATTTGACTTTAATGAATAATTTTCGGATCAGGCCCATGCAAAATAACTCTTACACTATCACACTAGTCACTGAGGCACTGAGAGTTTAAATAAAAAGCTTAAATGCTTCTGATTCTATCTTTTTTGTGTGTCTCACATTTTTATTGTTTTATAATAAAAAGAACATTTCATCAATAAAAATATTTTCATTTGGCCCCAAGAAGTCTATAGGAATAAGAGGAAGGTTGGGTATCTTTAATACTCGGGATAAAACAAGTAGCAAAACAGGATAGCATAAAGAGGGGGCCATTTAAGACTCCTTTTCTCCAGTCAAATGGCCGCCATTGCAAGTACAGGTTTGTTTTCTTATTATTTCTGCAAACCTGGTCCTATTTCCTCTTGGGCATAGCTCTGTGTAATGAAAATGATAGAGCCATAGCATTGGAAATCTAGTATAAAGCACTCAGCCATGAAATTGGAATAGCATAAAGAAAAACAGAGTGTATTCAAATGTTTACAAAATAAAAACTATCAGCTTTATAATAAAAATAATGAGAAAACTATGTCGTCAATACAGCAAACACAATTATCTGGAAAAATTCAGTGCTGAAAAATTATTGCAATTGTAACTTTTAGGGAAAACTATACAAGTACAGAGTTAGCAGTGTTAAAGTATCACTGCCACCTTCAATACTGGAAAATAGGACTGCAACTCCTAATACAACTCTAAATGAAAGTGGAAATATACCCTGTAACATTTTGCATAATCCTCTTCCTTATTACCTTTTTAATACATAAGGTACCAGTGTTTGAATCCCGGTTTGTTTCAATTTTAAAAGAACCATCTTCATTTCCCTTTATAATATTGAAAGTAGCATGCCAGGCTGGAGTTCCCCGTACATCTTTGTCTATCACAACAATTTTCGTGACTTCTGCATTCACTGTGTTTTCAGGTATAAATACTTCATACTGAAATAAGCAAAATGTTCATAGATTTAACTTCATTGTGCAAAATTTAAAACAATGTTATTATTCCAAGATGCAATAATCCCAGATAGCATTGGTATAGAACACCCTATTTGTTTTTTACATAATTATACAGACTATATCTAAATCAAAACACTATGAATTCTGGTCCTGCCATAGGCACAAAGCCAGGTGGGTGACCCAGGACCATGCACTCTTTCTAAGACCTAGGAAGAATACCAGAGCAAATTACTACTGAAATCTTGCAAAAACAAAAAAAAACCTGTAGAGACTTTTCCAGGTGATCGACAAGAATCAAACCCTCCCCAATATTTCCTACACTCTCCTCTTCCTTTAGTTAGCTCTATTACTGTTCTCAAATTTTAGTTTTGTTATATATTATTTGTAGATTAAGCCATTCCAAACTAAACATGGAAGTGGTTGTGGGGGAGGTCATTTGTTTTCTCTGCAACCAAGAGGAGGACAGAAATCATGGTTTAATAAAGGCTAACTTGTAGCTTGGGGCAAAAATAAATTAGCGGTAGAAGGGAATTAGGAAACAAAAAGCACAATGGAACAACACTGCTCCACTATCCCCTTATTAGGTATAGAGAATACATTCCCATTGATACAAAAGAGAAGGGAGAGAGAACACACCAGATTTGCAAGATCATGTTATCACAGCCAATCTAAACTAGTTTTTACTCCTCTAGGGAACTAATTTCTTGGCTTCATAAATCTGACATAAAATTGCAAGTCTGGCTATGCTTTCCCCCCCAATTTGTGAAAATTAGGGAGATATCTGTCTGAGATATTTGCATACAGTATGCTTTCTATATGTGCCAGACATAATGTATGTTTTCCTTCACATCTCTTTGGTAATGGATATCCCCTCTTCTTCAAAGCTATTCTATTTACTCTCTATACTAGAATAATCGTACAGGAATAGATTAAAACATGCAGGGTTTAGACTCATAATTAATATATATATCCATATATATGTATACATATACATATACATACATATATACATACATACATACACATACATACATACATACATATATATACACACACATATATACACAGACATACACACACACACGCAATAAAAATTGAAAACAGATAATGACAAAAGTAAAACAAAATTAGCTTGAAAATGTCAGACATACCACACCATGTTCGCACATCGGCGCATGATCGTTTGTATCACCAACTTCAATTATAACTGTTCCAGTGTTGCATAAACCAAAACTCTGACCTCCCATATCTCTTGCTTCCAGTAATACCGTGTATCTATCTATTTTCTGAAAGAGAGAATTGTAGACATCAGTATTGTTTATTCATTCTTTAAAATGAAATAAATTTCATTTATTTCACAGAGAAATGAAACATGAGGATTTTTTAAAATATGACTATTAAAGTTATATTATAATTTTATAACATATAAATTATATAAATATTATACATTTAAAATAATTATATAAAGTTATATAAATAATTTATAGAAACTTATTATATAAATTAAATACTTTTTTCAGGTCAATGATGCAGAGTTCCATAAATTCACTTCCCTAATGAAGAACTTGTCCCTGACTGATACATCTGTCCTGTATGTGCAGAAAAAGTGGAAGAAGAAATATTTGCTTTTTCTTCTTCATGTTCTATGAAAGAAAGACAAAGTACTACAGTTTCTATATTTTCCAAAATACTAGCAAGTGCTTTTTCTAGTTTCCTGCCAACCCCACCCCCCATATTTCTTCCATGTTCATCTTTTTCAGGTTGCCATTGTTCCGTATAATTGAGATTTTGTGGAAGGTTGGCTGCTGCTTGTAAATCCTACACAAGGAGAAGCAGTCTTTCATAGATTTTAAAATTCACAGATGGTTACAGACAAGTATGTTGAGTCCAACATGCAGATTTTTAACATTGTGTCAGTCCTGGTAAATCTTAGCAAACCAGGTAGAAGAAGTCAAGTTGAGGAAGGCTGCAATAATTTGTATATATTGTTGCACTGCCAATTATATACTGCTGACAATTTCTGTGATCCAGAAATCTATTTAAAATACATCTGACTAAATGAGTAGTATGGCAGAAAAAGAAAAAAAAAGCTTGTACCAATGTATTATTAATTGGCATGTTCTTCTTCTATTCACTCTGTGGAATGAATAGTCTTACAACACAGAGAAGGAAAGGTCCTCTTTTAACACTGTAATTATCTGAAAAGTGTAAGCTCTCAATATGGCTAATTACAATCTTCTTCCTCAAACCACTTTCTACTGGGCATTTCTTCTTCCAGTTCTATGTTCCTGGCTAGCAACTGACTTACCAATCCATTTCCAAGCTTCCATTGCTTCCCATAGTCTTTTTGAAAGTGCAGCCCAGAGAATTTGCATGTGCCCTTGACTGTACTTCATATATGAATATTTTATACATATCTTAGTTGTTTTAACACTCAATCTTTTTCAACAATCAACGTCCTGATTAGTTTTTCCCAATTTTTAGTTTCCCATTGTTTAAATTTAACGCTAACCCGGATCAAGCAGAAGGGCTACCGCCCTTCCGTGATCAAGCGGGGATCCCCTCCTTTCTGGTCAACCCTACAGGGCGACTTTCGACTCTTTCCAGGGTCCCCCAGTGATGCGAAACTGGACACGGAAGACGGAGCTCGCCTTCCAGACGTCCATGGCGGCCACGTCGGCAAACCGGAAGTCCTCCCTTCATATATGAATATTTTATCCACCATCTTTCAGTCAAGTTAAGATAAAAGACATGAATCCAATTTTGTTAGCATCATCAATCAAACCTGCAGCATGCTCAAGAATTTTGTTGTTCAAATTGGCTCCATGATCAATAAAATGTTTGTTACAAAGAAACTGTACATTCCTTAAAACCAGTTCAGTTCTATAATTTAACAGCAGGATTCTAGGTTCCAAACACTCTTTAACAGTTGTCCCTGAAAGTTGCAAAGGTAAAGAACAACATTAGGTTTCAGGAAAAAAAAATACCTCTCTATCCAAGGATGGGGTATGCAAAGAAATATCACCAGAATCTGCATGTACAGTAAATAAAAAGCCACCCCGAAATGAAGCAGGAGTCTGTCCCACAATTCTGTATTTCAGTTTAGTGTGCAGAGTGCCGGGTTCATCTCTGTCTGTTGCAGTCATCCGCCCAATGAAGGTTCCTGCATGAAAAAAAAATGCAGTGGTCTACTATAATATGCTTCTTGCACTATTATTAGAGAACTAGCTTCCAAATAGTATTGTATGTGTGCTACATATCAAACAATACTTAAATTAATGCAATAAAGACATTTCCAGTTGCCTTTAAGTTGCCCTCTTTCCATACAAATTTTTACAATTTCTCATACGTATTTCTACAATCCATCCTTGTTTGTTTCACTAAAGCTGTGATTTATCATACTGAATGAAATTGGTCATTTTTTTTGTCAACAACTTAAATTTAAAACCACTAAAAGAATTTTGTGGAAAGTGTTTATTCAGGTTATATCCATTTCTGACTGTCAATTTCACTATAATATTACAGTGGATGCTTAAAAATAAAAAAATTAAAATATTCAGCAAATTAATAAGTTTGATTTCACTCTTCACATTAAAATGCCATGCTCGAAACAAACCTTCATTTTCTAAGTAGAAAACTGCAAAACAAAGAGAAAGTTTTGTAGAATGAATCACATCTTTGTAGAAAACGTGCTATCACTCAGATTTAAACCAAAGCAGCAGCACTAAACCGAAAACATTTCCCACGCTCCCTCCAGGAAGAATCCACTATCTTTAATATTTATAAAATCAAGCTAGGGTGGGGTTGGGGGTTGGAGCTTACCATTGCAGCCAGGCCTCCCTTGGATTGACATTTGCCTCGCCGGCCCACTTCTGTGGCTGAAGGAGCAGCATCAATCTGCAGTTGAGTATGGAGCTCCAGCCTGCATTTTGCAGTCAGAGGCCTTTCTGGAAGGCACAGTTCTCAGCTTCAGAGACCTTCCAAAAAGGTCTCTGACTGCAAAATGCAGGCCGGAGCTCCATTCTCAGCTGCAGAATGAAGCTGCTCTTTCAGCCACAGAAGAAGTGGGCCGGCGAGGCAAATGTCAATCCAAAGGAGGCCTGGCTGCAATGGTAAGCTCCAACCCTCCACCCCCACCCTAGCTTGATTTTTAGGCGTGCGCCTCGCCCCAGAACTAGGGCTTATTTTTGAGGTAGGGATTATATTAGGTCCATCCTCAAAAATCAAGCTTGGGCTTATTTTTGGGCAGGTCTTACTTTTGGGGAAATATGGTATTCACTCTTTTAATGGCTGAATCTTATCCATTGAACTGCAGTCCCAAGGAGGGATTAAATTGTTAAAATATAAAACTAAAATGTTTTCAATTATGTATATGCTTACCAGATCTGCTATTCTCTAAAATACTGAAAGTAACTGTATCAGGATTAAAAATTGGGGGATTATCATTATCATCCTCAATTCGGATTAAATGTACAAGTGGAATCTCTGGTGTGTAGCCATCTAATGTCTTTGCATAGCAAATTATCTGTAAAAAAGAAACTATTTTAATTTGCTATCTATGCAGAGTTGATTTTTTTTGCTAATCTATTTTAACAATTAACACAATGTTACATTCCTTGCACATTAGTATTTATTGATTTACATATTTAATTTGTATGCCATCAGACTTCCAGTAACTCTGGACAGTTCACGAACTAAAGCCATACAATAAGAAAGACAAAGAAACAAAAGATAACAAAAGTGTGCAATAATGACACCATTGCAGATTGCTAAGAAGGGACTTCAACCATTCTAGCCAAAAGCCTGGGTGAAAAGCTAGGTCTTCACCACGTTATGAAACATCAATAGGGTATGAAGCATTCAGATTTTGGGGCAAGGGGGGGGGGCTTCATTCCAGAGTGCAGACTCTATGACAGAGAAGAGGCACATCTGGCATAGCTTAAATGGCATATTTTCATTGAAGGACTCCAGAGTGCACCAACCTTGTCAGATCAAATTATCCAGAAAGGAAGAGAACCATCATAACACTTTGCCCCCATCACCAAGTCATGAAGTCAGCTCAGAAGAACATAATGCCAGTGATAACAAAAGTCACTGAGAGATCAAGAAGCACAGACACACATGTACCATCCCCATCTTGGCTCTGCCAGAGGACATCTACAATGCAACCAAATCTGTCTCATTATTAAATCCCAGCCTGAAACCTCACTGAAATAGGTATAATCTGCTTCTTCCAGAGTACTCATCAACTTAAGGACAACCACTTTCTCAACAACCTTCCCCAGAATTAGAAGGCTGGAGTTCGGATGGTAGTTATTGAGAGCCACTGAATCCAAGGACAGCTTCTTAAAGAGGACATGTAACACCATTTTTTTCAAGGGAGGAGATACCACCCCGTCAAGGAGGCAGACACCTCAGCTTGGACCAAATGCACGTCACCTCCCTGATCACTTTTATGATGCAAGAACTCTGATTCAAAACACTGGCACCTCAGCTGACAGCACAGAGAACCCTATCTACTTCCTCAAGAGTCACTAGCTGAATCATGTCAGAGCATATTTGAATGATGCTATACATCAGGTAGCCTGAATAATTCTTACAGTGGCCCAACAGATATTCCCAAGGGCCCTCCCTTCCCAACAGAGATCAAGGGATCTTAATCAGAGCTGCTGAATGGCAATCAGCAAGTGCAATAAGGGTGGAGAAGTAATAATAGCTTAGCAGCCAAGTCCTTTTTGAAATGTACTAGTAAGATTAATTTTATGGATCTCCAAGAGATGAAACTGCTTTTCTGAATTTCATAAAATCTAAATTTTGATTTTCTTCTAATTATTAGCAACTTGAACAAGTAGTACTTAAGACCACTCCTCAGCATTCCAACTTTCGTGGTGTCCGCACAATCATGTGATCGTGATCCAGGTGCTCAGCTTGTAATTATGAAATTGGAGCATCCAGCAGTTACTGTGACCTTTTTTTGCAGGATAAATGGGGAAATCGTAATTGGTAACCATGTGACATTCTTGCTTAAATACCCATTGTGATGCACTTAACAATAGCCACCAGCACTGCTATTGGAATTGCCATAGTTAAGTGATGTGCCACATGATATTGCACTTCATAACCACATCAATTAACTAGTCCCAATTACTGTCATAAACTGAGGACAAACCTATAGTTTAGAAAATGACAAAAGTATGAATCTTACCTGAAATTCTGCATACTCCTCCCGATCTATTGGGCAAGTAACAAAGAGATTTCCTGTTTCTTTTTCAATGTAAAAATAATTCAAAGGTGGCTGATCCACACCAGGACCACTAATGGAATAGGTAATGTTGTAGTTTTGAGCTGAATCAGAAGATAGCTATAAAGAAAAAAAAAAGATGGGGTGAAATAAAAATATAATCATATCCTACAACAGAAGTCATATCTGTCATATATAATCATATCCTACACCCTCTCGTCCTTAGAAAATATCTAAATATTTAACAATTATTCAATGTATATGCCAAAGATAATAACATAGTCCTCAGAGGTTGCTGGATTATAATACCCTGTTTCTCATTGCTTCAGATAGCAGTTAAAGTGGATAGGAGTTGGAATTTAGAATCTAAAGGGATACATTATGGATACATGTATTAATTATATACTGTTTGCTTTGATGTACACTAAGAAGGTAAATAGAAACACTTAATATGGGTTTTAAGGAAATTTAAAATATTTATATACATTGCAAATAGTTGGTGTATAGAGAAGGGGATAGTTAGAGATAAAATACCTATAATTTTCCTATTTTTCCATATAAAGTAATTTTTTTCTATTCCTTTTTTCCCCTTTTCAGTACTTATAATAAAAATAATATAGATTTTAGTATAAACTTTTTCATATTATAAAATAATTAAATGTACTTAGCCATTTTTATCAATATTATATTAAACACCAATAGCTTAATATAAGCAATTTTATATACAATTTTATAAGCAATTTATATATATTATAAATTAAACATTGATATACATTTGCTATTTGGAAGGTTTATAAGCAAACTAGTTTTGCTGCTCAACTTTCCTTTACTGTGTTTGAGAGCTATGTCAGAGTAGATGTTTACCACACATCAGCATTAGGAAAATAATCTAATAATCAATCTCTTACATAAGCTCTTAGAAATCTCAGTAGACACTACACTTATAGCAACTAATCACATTCAAAACTGCAAAAACAATTTATATTATTTTGCTGTTCAATCTCAGTGTTTGAACAAAGAGATGAAGTCTATTGGTAGCTTCAACTCATAAAATGTGAGTCAAATATATACTAATGTTTACTTAACTAGGATACATGGAAAAAGGAGTCATAATTCTTGGGGGGGAAATGCATGTTTCCTCAAAAGTGGAATTTCTTTATTTACCAAATTTTAAATGGAAATAGTAATCTGTAATTTTATTCTTTCCCTACAGAGTTTGGATACATCATTCTTCTATAAAGGTGGTATCAAAATAAAAAAGGTAATTAAAAACTAGTTTTGTATCATATGTGGTTAACTTTGAAACAATTTGAATAACAAAGTGAGTAAGTCATATCAGGCAACAGTCTGTACAACTTTTTTATGTAATTTGCCATTTGAGCAAGATGAGCAAGTATTACTAATATTTGTGTAAGTGACTACACATGAGACTAATTGTATTGCATACAAGTTGCTAATAATACATATTACTACTTAAAATAGGAAAAGGAAACTTATTAACTTACCTGCTGAATTTGCATTGGGAAAGGTCCCAGTGAATTTTCCATTATAGTGGTTGGTACAGGAGCCCATCTTCGTTTACTGCGTCTAAGAACTTTCTCTCCTGTTTTGTGTGTCTAAGTTCAAAAAATATACAAATAATATATTTCTAAAATATATAATTTATTCTAGTATTTTCAGCTGACTTCCTTTCTTATATTTTTCAGTGGCCCAAATATACCTTTTTTCATGGAATGTCTTTATTAGCATCATTCTTTCTTTGACACAATGCTAACAGGATAAACTAAAAATTTATCTTTCATCTATAGCAAAAGGGGTACTACAAGCTTCTGTTAGAACTATATATGCTAATGACATCTTTTAGGAACTGCAAGGCTGTCAGAAGAAGCCACATAGTCTTGTCTCTCTATTATTATTCTTTATTTAATGTGCTTTTAAATACATTATACATTTAACATTCACACATTACCAAGATCCGAGAAGGAACCTCATGTCTATAGACAAGCGAAGGTTTTTTTGTTCTTACTGCATTTTATTAGTCAAAATTCCTAGAAGTTCTGATGTCAAGCATTTTGACTGTTTCAAATTTCCACATTATGATCCATGCCCTCCAGGGACTGGTTATGTTGATTGATTAATCTAGAAATTACCAGGTTTGGAAGAGTTGATTTATATATGAATAAAGATAGAGTAGCAAAAAAATCAGGATTTTCTTATAATCAGTTACAGTCAATTAACTTTTCATAACACTAGTTATAGGCCACTTACCTTTGGGGGATGTGACAGCAAGTTGACATGGATTTGCTTTTGCTTATTATTTTGCAAGTTCTTGAGCAAAATGGTGAATGTTTTCTTTCCAGAAGACAAAGAAACTGCATTTGATGTAAATATAGAACCATCTTCCAGAACTATAAAATCAGGGTCACTTGTACTGATCAGGTGAGGAGTTCTAAGATACCCATTCAGATTTACTAATAAAAAGACAAAAGTAAAGTCATAAAGAATTGTTCCCAATATCACCCACATAAAGATACATGTAGATAGCCTTAAAATTTTACACTGTATACGTAAGTGCATTAGATAAATTGGAGAATAGCAAAACTCTGCTATAATCCCCATAGAAAATATATTTGAAAATACAAAATTAAATAAACTGGCCAAATGTCACAAGATTTCAATTTTTTAAATGAAACCAGATAAAATTTCAATCTTTTACATGAAACCAGGTAAAATTTCAAGCAAGAAAGAAAAAACACTTAGGAATGCATAACATTCCAATAATATGATATCATACAATACAATCAGCAATCTGTACAACTCTGGCTTTTATATTTTAAATGTATTGGCACTCAGACCTTGAAAAGGGTAGGAAGATGGGATTGGAAATCATATCATAAACATAAAACATTTGTCCAGAGATAAACAAACAGACAGACATAAAAGGAAGCAACTTAAAGGAATCCAGTTTTAAATGTTTATGTTCACCTATTTAGCTTGGCTTAAATAAATAATAAATCTTAAATTCATATCACCTGGTTAGACATTGTTGAGACACTGAGTGCAGCAAATAAATTGAAAATAAAGCAAAGAAAAAAGAAAAAAAGAAAAGAAAAGAAAATGGTTGTTGGTAATCCAAATGTATGCCAATATAGAAGGAAGAAAATAAATAGCTAGTTCCATTTATTTCAGTTAAAAAATGTAATTTTAGTACACTTTCTCCCAAGCTGACATTTGGTCTGCTCATTAGTGTATTTTTAAATTTAAAATCTAAAACCTTGCTGTGTGTGCAAGACTCACTCTTCAATAAGCACATTTAATATTCTAATACTCTTTAATTAGGAAAATTCTCTTTTGAATACAGTATGGCTTACTTGAAGAAAAATTATTGGGATGAGGAGGAGGACAAAAATAACCACAGATATTAGATTTGAATTATTATATTTAAGAAACTTGCTGTTTTCTCACCTTGGCCAATTAGTGTGTCAGGGTTTAGTTTTGTAGGCACATTTAAGGTAACCTTTTTGGAAGCTTCACAACATAAACTTAATACCTAGATGGGAACAAAGAATCAATTATATTTGTATTGCAGAACTATAAATAATGAAAATAAATGTAGCCTTACACATCCCTGCTGCAATTTGCCAAATCAAATAGTAAACACGAATTGAAGCATTTATAAGCAAGAGGAAATCTAGTCTTTTTTCCATATAAAACAATTTGATATATGATACATCACCAGGCATAGAAAGTTTTTTTCCAACACTATGCAGGCAGTAGACAAAAAATATATCTGGTTCCACTATAATTTCCACTATAAGACTATCTGCAACACATGAAATAGATGTCACACATCTAGCTACAAAAACTATTTTTAACATTTGATTTTAAAATCCTTAACTTAATACATTATCAAGAGAATATGGATGAAGATCAGGGAAAAATCCTTTCTACGTTGAAATCAATACATGAAACCATTCTTTCAGCATGTAACAAAATAAGAGGCAACATAAAGGAACAAGATGCCAGCTTAGATATACAAACCCAGATTTTGACTACAACCAAGGACCCAACAATGCAGAAAGCAACAGGAGAAATGGAACAACTAAATATTAAGACAGAGAACCCAACTGACCAACAGATCCAGCCAACGGGGAAATTAGAAAAGAGAATGACAACACTGAAAATGTAAAAGATTTTTTTCATAAATCAGAAGAAACTTGAGGAAAAGGAAGAAAGACAGACTGAATGGAAGATAAACTTATCAGGACAACTGTGGGAAATTGGAATAATGGGGAGGCAATCAAAGAAATATAATGGGACTAGTTCTTCCAAAAAAAATTGTAATTAAATGGTTTTTCTTAACTCAAATAATGCACACAATAATAGAGGGAGAACTGTTTGACGAATTAAAAGTACTAACATGGATGGTTAGTTGACAAAGGAAAAAAGCCAGAGTAAGGTTGAAAGAAACTAGGGTTTTGATTTATTAGGGGGGATTTCATACTATTGATTAGAGGGTTGAAGATGGTTGAATATATATTTTTTAGAAAATAAAGTAATATTATAACTGAATAGGTAAGATGTGTAATAAGATTAATAGATTTTCGGTTTAATATAGTGGGAAAAAAAGATAATTTTTAGAAAATAGAATAAGATTATATGCAAATAGATAAGATGTATATTTAGAATATTAGATTTTGTTATAAAAAGGAGGAAATGTAGAAATTGAGATAAGGGAACTCTAGTCACCTAAAGCTTGAAATTGTAACATACCAAATGTTAAGTTGAATATTGAGGGGAAATTAAAGCCTGGGGGGAAAGCTACAACAGGACATTGATGTATATAAGATTGAATGTAAACACAATTAAGATATGTATAAGTTAAAAATTATTGATAAATGTACAAAGATGGTTTTAGTTAGTTGATAACAATAAGAATTATATTAATTCAATATGAGATAGTAGATATTAAGGGAAAAAGAGAGGAAATATCTGATGTTGTAACTTGAGATTTGTGCTAAAGATTTAAGTATTGTAAAATTAGAAAATTAATAAAATATTATGAAAAAAAACATATCTGGTGTATTACAAGCAAAAATTGCAACGTGTCAGTTGTAGAGGCAGAACAAATTAATAGGATTCCATGATACCCTCACCCCACATCTATTCTTTCAAAACATTTGAATGGATATGTGAATCATTTCAAAGTTTAGTAATACTGTTATAATACATGAAGGTACAGAAATTTTATAAACCGTCATTACCCACACAAGTAGTTGTACAAAGTTGTGTTTCCATTATGGAAGGGAATTCCATAATTTCCATCAATTAATCCATGCAGATTTATTAGGGACTACAAACCACATCACAATGACATACCATTGACTTCATAGGGAAATTAACTTAGGATAACATACCACAAGCTAACTACCTGTGTATAGTATGTTTAGGCAAGCAGGGGAAACCAGTCAATATTCAAGCAACACATCTCACATCAAAAGGCACAATGCAAGGGCAAAAAAACAGCAAGGCTGCCTTATTTAATAGATTTGGAAGAATATACACAATCATTAATTGAACCGGAACTAATTTTTCGCCTTCCTTTAGGGAAGCCTTGCCTATAGTATGACTCATTTGAATGGAAACAGACGTCTTCAGCTACATTATGGCACCAAGCATACCACCTTCATGCCCCATTTTAAATATAATTTATTTTATAAGGCAAAACTAATTAACAAAAGAGAAATACAAATATTTAAAAGAGCATCAAAGGCTCAACAAAATCTCATAAGCATAGCAGTTTTTTTTTAAAAAAAGAAAGAAATCTGGCAATTGCTACAAACAGAAGAAAAAAAATTGATCATATTGCTCTAAAATCTTTTTCCTTGTCTTTATTAAAAAGACTGTTAAATGTTGTATTGTCAAATACTGGCAATACAATACATATTAAGAGTCCACAGTTTTTGTTTAGATGCCTTCTTCCTATGTGGTACAATAACTCTTATAGCCAATTTGTTCATTAATCATCTAAACATTTTGCAAGTTAACAATCCTGTTCATGTCCACCCTGGATGCAATAATAACAAGAAAAGATAAACCACATAGGTTAATGTTGCAACTGAAGTGGAATGGCCAATGGAGAGGGATGCCAGGAATTGCAATTCAACAATATGTGGAAGGTTGCAAGTTACCCATATTTGCTCTAAATCAGTGGTTCTCGAAGTGAGGTCTAGGGACCCTAGGCTCCATGAAGTCAAATGCATAAATATTTTTAAAATACTCAGTTTTAACTACTAATACAATAAATATTGATATAACTCATATAAACCAAAGCTCTTTAGGATTCTCAATCATTTTTAAGAATGTAAGGGGTCCAGAAACCAAACTGTTTGAAAACCGTTGCTCTAAATTAGGAGTCCCCAACCTATGGGCCACGGCCCACTACTGGGCCTTGGCCTACTGGCCACCAGGCTGTGGGACAAGCTGGCCAGTGTGTACATGCACTCACCCCCACTCACGCTAGCGCCCGCGGACCCCTTTGTGCATGTAGATGGGGCTAGCTAGCGGCAGAAACTAGCTCCTGCGCACCTGCGCAAACGGGGGCCGCTAGCACCATGCGGGTTGTGCGGCCCTTTTGCGCATGCGGATGGGGTTAGCAGCAGAGCCTAGCACCTGCATGGCTACACAAACAGGGCCGCTAGCGCTGTGTGTGTGCGCACGGCTCCGTTTCCACACGCACATGTGTACACACGTGCAAATTTCCCAGCTGCTCCTTTTCCCTCTGGGCCGCCAGCATGAAAAGGTTGGTGACCTCTGCTCTAAATGAAATATGCCAATTGTAGTGAATAAAAGTAGAGGTAATGCTTTAACAGGGTTTCCAGGGAAGTTTCTCAAGATGCTTTCTTGGAAGTATTATCAATACAGTAAACAGTAATTAGATCTGGGAGGTCACTCTATTGTGAGTACCTATAAAGATATCGTTAACAAGATGGATATAAACAAGGTTAACATTCAATAATAAGGTAGTCCTCACTTAATAACACTAACTGGTACCAGAAAGCAATATGGTCATAAGTTAAAAATCCACACGACTACATTGTTTAGTGATGGCAATTCTGGCAATCCCAGTTGCCATTAAGCAAGGACCATGCATGTTATTAAGCCAGGTGTTATGTCACTGTGACTTGCGACTTCCTTGCCAGCTTCTCCATTGATTTAGTTTGTCAAAAGGTGGCATGGAAAGTTGCAAATCACAATCAGATGTCTTTGGGATGCTGTTACAGCTATAAGTATAAGAACCAGTCACAACTATCACTCAGTCAGCGTTGTTGCAAGTACAAATGGTTGTTAAATAAGGACCAGCTACGTTCCTTCCATGATAAAATACTCTTAGAATTAGAAATTTAGAATTTCCTAGAGAACTGATAGAAAACTGAAAGCAGTAAGGGTCATTACTGAGCAAATCCACTGAAAAGCGTTGACTTTTGTGGAGAAAAGATCAACATTGTTCTTTTTCCCAAAAAGATATGTCTGTAAAATATGCTTGTGTGTGTGTGTGTGTGTGTGTGTGTGTCTATCAGTCTTGATTTTAAGGATTGTAGGGACAAGTTCCTGCAATTTTCTTGGCAACATTTTCAGAAGTGGTTTGCCACTTCCTAGGACTGAGAGAGAAAGGTCATCCAGTTGACTTTATGCCCAAGGCAGGACTAATGCTCTAAGGAGTTGTTCTAAAAATACACCAATCCTCAGGAGACCGAAAACAGTGACATACAAGTTTAAACTGAGACAATATAATCATTAGCTGAAGTGGTATCTATGGCACATGAGAAGTACCTTTAGGCTTCTCTGCATAGGATTGTATAGATGAAGCCCCAACACATCTAGCAAGACAGCAAGCATTTTGTTGGGCAACTAAGAGTTGCTACCCAGCATGTTGAAGAGCTGCAGTAGAAGGTCATAATGAGTTGAGATATCTATACTGACTGCAACAGCACACGATTATAAAGCATACTCCAATACAGTGTGCTATGGTTTAATATTTTCACGGAGTCTAACAGCCTATTATATATTGAAACAAACTAAAATGTTAAACATTTGTATATTATTCTCTATTCCAATAGGAAGTAGTGTACCTCGTGCATTTTTTTTCTTCAACATTTATTAATCACTCAATGCTAAGGAGGGATTCAGGAGATGCAGCATTAACTAAAGGCAAATCCTCAATCAAGTTCTTTTGTGTTATAATAAAATTATAAAGGCTGGGAGAGGGAGAAGTGTAAATTGCATTTAAACCACTCAATGCAATGGAAAAGAGAATGTTCACCACTAAGACCAAACCTCTGTTCCTAAAAGCTTCTTGAGCAGATGATTTGTCCACTCTACTTAAATACACCCAATAAATGGGAGCATTTAATATTTCTGATTAACTGGTCCTATTGCCCTTATCATAGAAAGGTTTCTAAATAGTCAAGAGGAATGACTTTCTGTATGTTAAATTCATTATTCCTAGTCCTAAACTCTGGAATGAAAGAAAATGACTTTTGACCTTTTCTGTATAACATCCCTTCTGGTATTTGAAAATGCTGTTCTATCTCTCCTCAATCTTCTCAGCTCAAAACTAAACATGTCAACTCATTTAATCTTTCTTCACATAACTTCAGTTTCCCATTTTTTATTATCTTTTTGTCACGTTCTCTAAACCCATTTGTTTGTTTATCAAAATCCTTCTTAAAAGGTTATGTCCCCAAATGATATTTCCTTGAGATGGTCTTTGCTTCCTGCTTTGGAAACTCTTTAAAGAAGAATCTCTTTTGAGTCTAGTTTCTTAATGAAAGTATCCGTGCAATTTTGTTGGGAAGAACAGGGGAAAGTTTGCCTTCATCTGGTTTTGTTTTGGGCTGTTATTTTTTTCTTGCTTCACAATCTAATTCTGCACTGATATTTTTTTGGTCTTCCATCAAGGTCCAATTTTGCTCAGTTTTTCAACATTACCTGAAGGAATGTAGAATTTATTTCTGGGAACACAAATGTCAGCAAATCATAGTTATCAGTAGCGTTTAATATAAACAGTATATATTTCTCATTAAATTAGAACAAAAAGGTTTCACTAACATTCTTGGAATGTTGTCAAGTATTGAATGTTAAATTCAAGAGCACGCCACAATTTCATTAAATACCACTAACTCAAATTACTACTTTGTTTATAACATAAAATGTTATCAGTAGCAAAGAATATTAAAGGCTACAAAAGGAAAGCACATCAACATAAAAAGAAGAAAAGCATTTTATCATCTTGAAGGGCGAATAAATGGATGATTTATTTGTTTATTACATTTTTATGCTTCCACAGCTCTTGTGATTGATGAGCTGGGTTGAGAAACAATAACTGATCCAAAATCATCCAATTGACTTCTGTGCTAAAGAAGGATTGGAACTCATGGTCTCTATCTAGAATAACTAGATACATATAAACTAGATGCACATGGTTAAATGCAATAAATAGTGTTTTAATACAAAAGTATTCATTGTTTTTATTGCATTAAATAATCATAAATGTTCATTAAAATCAGTTATCTATGAAGTTAAAATAGTCAACTGTATGGTTACTTATGTCATAAGAATAATACAAAGAATTTCACATTTATATTTAAGTTTTAAGAGTAAGCATAATTAGAAACATACTAAAAATGTACTAAAATATATTCTATTAATATTCTCTTATTAACTTTCTGATAATTTTCAATCACTCATTTTTTACCATCATTTTCATTACCTGGTAATGATTGTTGGAGAAAGGGTTGGGTATAGCATAAATGCAAATATCATAATTAACTGTTACTCATAATAAATTTAAAGTATTTGATCTAGAAAAACAAACTATAATAAAATGTACATTTAAACATTATTCTTAGCAAGAAGCAGGCAACAACCTTGCTCATATATGGACTGTCAGATTGAAAAGTACACCAATCAGTAAAAAGAGTTTAGATTTAGTAAAATAATATTACATACATGTTTTATCAGAAATAAAAATAGATCTCTTTGAATAATGAATTATTTACTGGATTTACAGCAGCATCAACAAATCAAGCAATATTTCCTCCAAAAAAATCCACACATTAAAAAAGGTTACCTATATAGAATACAGAAGGGGGATAATAATTAAACAACTAAAGAAGCACCACTCAACCCAAACACCTGGAGAAAGAAGCCAGGTCTTAACAGCTTTTTAAAGGAAAGCAGAACTGGGCCGTGGTATATGGGTGGGTGAGTCATTCCAGAATATGGAATATGCACTGTCAAACTATGCTTACTTTCAAAACTTAAACATAGATTTATATTTTTAAGCTCTGCTTCTTATTCAAAATAAATGTAAGTAAAATGTACTAGTCACTTTTCCAAATTCATTATTATTTGAGCTCATTATGATTGCAATATTTTACTTCTTGAATTTATCAGTATTAGCCAAGGTTTTTTGTTTAATTCTATCTTGAATAAAAGAAGGGGTGTGTGTATGTATTAAATTCATTTTTCCAAAATAGAGAGTACCACCTAAATATTACAATTATGTTTCACAGGTCTTCATATATGAAGTGAACTGCAATTCTTTCATATTCCATCATTCTTCATATTTAAATAAAAATATTGGTTATTGAAAGATGCTTAGAAATATTAGACACCGCTGGAAGCAATATATATAATGCGATTTATATTCCAAAATAGAGCAATTAGATTCCTTCTCAGCAGAGGAATATGCAACTATCTTATTGGTATAAACAGGTAATAGTTGCTTTCAAATAAGAAAAAAGGAAACATTTCCTGAGACTATCAGACAAATCAAAAAAACAAATAAACTATAGTGCAGCAAAGTCTGCAAAAGTTAATACCACTCTCAAAATTATATGCACCCTAAAAGTGGACGCCCTTCCAGGACATGAAATATGTAGTATTTGGTTCTATCTTCTCCTTATTTGCATTATTTCTTCCCCCGTGATTCAGAAGCTGCTTAAAGTAGAATGTTTTAAAATCTCCTACTCGCCCATTCATCCACCTCCAACCTCTGCATCAGGTTAAGGAAAATAGGGACAAACTTTTATTTATCATCTTCTGTTCCGGAAGGGAGGAGTGCAAAGTAGCCTTAGACAGCCACCTTATTTTAAAAGCAAATTCAACGCTCGGTATAGTTTGATCTTCACTTCCAATTAAAAGTCGATGCCCTTCTTTAAAACCAACCACATTTTGCTACCTAATCGGCACGGCGAAAGACGACATCTTCCACCCAATCCTCTTACTTCGCTGCCCTTCTTCACAATTTCATTTATCGGATTTCCCCCCCCCCCACCCCTCCCTTTCCGTCATTTTTCTGAGCGCACGCGCGGGCGAAAGAAAAAGAAGAAGTGAAAGAAAAGGTTAAAGTCTTAGGGTTTTGCCTTTAACTGTGCAAGATGTTTTCTTAAGGAAAAAGAAAAGAAAAAAGAAAAGAAAGCAGTGTATGCCAGGAGAAAGCCTTTGATCTCTCCAAAGAAACTTTCCACCGAGTCAGGGCGCTCCTCCAAGCAAACACGCCACGCCGGCGCAAACTTAAGCCTTTGCCACGCGAGGACAAATCTCTCGAGGTACCGGGGGGCCACTGACGGCTTCATCGGCTTTTGGCCTGCCATCCCTGCGACCTTCCTGCCTCCACTCCCTCCGGAAGGTGCATCCACCCCTTCCCCAGGAGTGCCCACTCACCAGGAGGCCGAGGAGGAGCTGCAAGCAAGCGGCTCCAAGCGGGGCCCCTCTGCGCTTTGTTGCCTGCGGGGCCATGTCTGGAGGCTCGCGGTTTGGTGGGAATTGCGGCCACTGGGCTGGTGCGCCGAACTCTTGGCGACTCCGACCAGGTGAGTCTGAAGTTCCCCGCCCGGCTCACCAGCTGCAGCTCCAAGGGCGGCCCTAATGAGGAGGAGGAGGAGGAGGAGACGACTTTGTTTTTCTCTGCCTTTCTTGGTTCGCTCAGGCTCCAGTTGGCGGCTCCTCCCGTCCACGGTAGGATTTCGCTCCTAGCCAGGGTGGGGCCATCGGAGGGAGGGGGGTTAGTACTACCAACGGCACCTTTGAGATAGCCTAATTAGCTTCCCTCGTTCTTTCTTTCTATTTGACCAGGGAATGGAGTCCCAACCCCGCCCTGCTCTGGGAAGGTAGGAAAAGAACTGGAATTATATGCCCGCCCCGGCTGTCTTGTCCCTGACTGCATACTCACAGGAATGTGTGTGAGAAAACGACTCACCGGGTAGGCGAACCAGAAAGGCGGCTCCTCCTTCAGCTTCGTTACCTCTTAGTAATTGCCTCTGCCTTCGGGTGGCCTTACTCTCTTTAGATGAGTCTGCTTGCAGCGATATAGCTTCGATGCGACGCCATCAAAACTCCCGCCACGAATGGACTCTCTTCCCTGAAAAAGGCAATTGAATGTTTGTTCAGTTCCCGTTTTTTTCTTTCCTGGAAAGGGAACTGGATATTATAGAACTGAAAAGTTATTCCTAAATCCCTTTTTCAAGTAGCAAGTTCAATTATTTTATTTCTCTTTGCTTCTGTCCTCCTGCAACTCAAGAATTATTTCACCAGTGACCATTTCTTTCCCTGGGCAAATGCGAGCTAAATGTACGCTGTTCTTCCAGAACTGGTTTATCAATAGGATTTGGAATTTTACATGTATAAATCATCTCCTCCCAGAACAAATTCTTCTTCAAGAGAATTTTTTTTTACTATACCTAATGGGGTCAGTGTGTTGACTGGCACAATGGTGCCTCTAGAAACTATTTAAAACATTTTAGCATTTGAAATTGTGGCAGTATAAACATTTATGTATTTGAAATGCAAAGTTAAACAGCATGTTGTCAGCCCTTCAAATTACTTCAGACAGGAAACTAAAAACATGAATAATGAGGCTATCTTTAAGTTTACAATAACAGAATCTTCAAGTCCGAAAGCACTACTTTCCTTTGTTTACTTTTCAGAAAACTAAGGAGGGTCTCTTCAGACCCACTTTCTCCCTCCTTATTCTTCCTTTGGACTCAAGATTTCACTTATCAAATCATTGTTTAGGCTGCTGCTCATCCCTCCTGTTTCCCAAGATTGTTTTCGCAGTACATTACAATGTAAAAGTGTTTTGTGTGAGCTACATATATTCTCTTCCATTGATAGAAGTGTATGCTTAGGGAAAGACATACTAGCTGAAAATGTTTTAATCTTCATACAATACCTTTTTGATTTGATTAACTAGATCATGCACTAGTATCAAGGCAAGCACATTTTTTCTTGATTCAAATCTTGGGAAAACAAGGGAATTGCTATAGAAGAAAATTCCCCCATTGAGCAAGAATGGTCAAATTTCAGCAATTGCCAGTTTGAAATTAACAAGAACATCATTTGAACATAAAATATATTTTCTTTTCCACAGAGTTGTGAAAAGAGTAAAATAAAGCTGGCTACCTTTTTTTGGAATGAAAGGTGTTTTATGAGGAAAAAACATGATATAACATCAAAAACTATATCATTTAATTATCAAAGGTCCTTTAAAATACAGTGGAAGTCCACTGTATGTAAATAGGATGGGCAGTTTTAAGTGCAAGTAACTCTTAAATAAGCTGCTGTGGGATTTAGAAACTTTTGAATACATTAGTCTTGATGGGTCTTACCATTTCATGACTATTTTGAGATCAAGCTCTAGCCTCTTCTATCCTAAACAGTTTATCTTTCAAAAGTATTAGTGGCTGAATGAATCACAACCTTGTCACACCCAGAAGATTAATTACTGTGAAGACTTCCTCCATCCCATATTTTCTAATCAACTTTAAATGATAGCAACATGTAACCAACATATTAAACATAATTAAATAAATTTAAAATAAATGGAACTCCAACATCACAACTGGGTTTGTATTTCCATGAATGTATGTTGATAATCATTGCAAAATAGTTTTAATAGCATGTTTTTCAAATAGCAAAAGCACTTAGACTTATATACCACTTCATAGTGCTTTATAGTCCTCTCTCTAAGGGGCTTACAGAATCAGCATATTGCCCCAACAATCTGGGTCATTATTTTACTCACCTCGGATAAATGTAATTACTGTTACTCCAATTCTATCTCTACATTCTATTTGTAGAGAAGTATATCTTGAAGTTATAGAAAAAAGATTTAAGAGGTCCATTCTTTGAGAGCATTGATCAATATGATATATTGTTCTAGTTTTAAACATTATATAGCAAATAGAAAAGAAATGGACAAACCTAATAATCAAGATGCAGATCTTTTAGATTTGTACTAAACCATTGCTCTAAAAGATCTATACAAGTTAGATATTTTATGCTTTTGAATGATAAGCCATGAGGTAAATACTTCTTTTGTTGATGTTGGTCCAGTAGTGATTCATATTATAGGTAGAATTTATTCAGGACAGAGAGACTTTTCTCAACCTTCTTCATTTTGATTGTGAGCCTTGAAGAAGGTATATAATTGCTGTTTGTGTTCTCAATATACAGTAGAATTTTGCAAAAAAAACCCACCCTCTACTGCTTATATAAAAAGCAATAGTGGAAAAGGATAGGTGAAGGCTATGAACTCAGTGTTGGAAAGGCTTTCTTTAGCCCATTGTTCTTATAACAAGAATTTCATTGAAGGGCTGAGAAAGGTATTTTAATTGCCATACTTGCCACTTCATTTTCACTCTGCCAGTGACAAATACTATGACTGTATTTGGTAAACTGTCTTAATAACTGATTTGGCTTTATGAATTAACTATTTTATTAAAAAAATCAATAGTGAAGTATTCCTTTATACTCCCCAAATCCCCCCAAAATCAGTTCTACCACATTTCACTGTTGACATCAATTTTGTTTACAAATACCCTTCCCTTTGCACAATCTCTTTTCAACATATTGCTTGAAATTTAATGTGTTTCCTACCATAAGAGATATCATTGCTGCAAAAGTCATCATATTTTGCCCTATACGACGCTACAAGCACTTTAAAATTATTTTTAAAAGCATGTAAATTAAAAAGTTCAGTACTTCCATAACATTTGATATATTAATCTCCTATAGCATGGGAGCAAATCTCATCCCACTCTGCTAAAAAAAAAAGATAAAACTGTTCTAGTTTTATTTACATCAGGTAACGGGAAAATTGAACTTTTAAAAAATCTTGCTCTACAGTCAGATATTCAGTTGGATTGAATGTCTTTTGCAGTGACCTGAACTGGATCATATCATTCTATTGCTTTGAATCAAGGCCCAAAATCACAGCGAGTACTCTCGGCATATTATTTAATTAGTGGCTTATTTTGTAATTATATTATTTCTATTACTAAATAGTAATCTATTTCAGTAATTAAAATGTAATAACTATCAAAGTATGCATCCAGGCTATTCTTGAAAATAACTTTATTGAAGATATAGAAATAGGTCTTTTTTATTCTGATCCACAGTAATCCAATGTGTATTTAAACATAAGGCAGTGGACCCAATATACCTTCTTACCTCTCATGGCTTTTTAGCCCACTGTTTCTGTTTTGTTTTCTGCATTCATGTATTTATGCTTTCATGTATTTATGCATGCTTATATATTTACTGAAAGTAGATATCTGAAATCTACAGAATCTTCATTTTTCTTCCTTCATATTATATATGCTTATGTGAAGCTGTGTATTAAATAAAATGCTTAATTTATTCATCTAGCAATAAACATATTCAATATCAGTAGTTACTGTAATATTGCTACAGTTAAGAAGTTCAAACATATGACTAAAGATAGACAGTATAATCAATATATTTCAGCATAATCATCAGCTTCATTGAATGGATAAAAATCATGTAGGAGTTTGGAAGAAAGTGATAATATAATATAAAATGTGTGATATACCACTAGACTGACAGGTTCTCAAACAATAGAGATATAGTGGTGTCTGTGTTTGTTTAAGTATTATAAGTATGGATTTTGTGCATGCTGATTTCTGCCATTATTCCTGAAAGGAGCTTGCAACCTTTTAACTACCGTATTTAATGCCAACATTAATGAACAGAAATTGAAAAATATATAATTTTATATATAATTAAGTCTAATGTGTCATTGAAGTAGCCATCAGTGTTGATATAATACCTCTAATAATACCTTGTCTGTGGCAACTTTAATCATTTTCATTTCATTGCAGGAAAATCTATAAAAACTGAATGGAAAAGCATATATTCATGCGCTTTATGGAAAGCAGAACATCTCAAAAAATCTTCAGAGAGACAGATTAAGCAATATGTTATACTATATCAGTGGTGGCGAACCTATGGCACGCGTGCCAGAGGCGGCACTCAGAGCCCTTTCTGTGGGCACGCGTGCCATTGCCCCACCAGAGTTCGCCAGAGTAGCAAGCACATGGCATTTGGAAGCGACGGCAGGAAGTGAGCGAGCAACCAGTGTTGGCCCCCCGGGGATGCCCCAGAGATGGCAAGGGACTGGCCCCCGCTGCCCTGCCCCCGGCCACGCTCACACAGTCTGCCGTGACCACTGCAGCCATGCCCACCCAATGGGCCACGCCCCCTGCCCCCCTGAGGGCACCACAATGCTGATTCAGCCCTGGCACTTTGCGATAAATAAGTGGGTTTTGGGTTGCAGTTTGGGCACTTGGTCTCTAAAAGGTTCGCCATCACTGTACTATATTAACTAAATTTGAATTTCTACAGAATTTATTAAATAGGCCAAGTACAAAAACCTATATGATTTATTAAATGACTCAAATACAAGATCAAGTGGCCTTCAATCTAAATTGAAGATCAATTTTTTTCATCTTCTTTTCCCCGTAAAGATACTTGACAAGGATGCTCATTTTCTCTTTTGATTAATTGTACTTTTAGAGCCAGTCTATGCTATCAGACAACATCATAAAGCACATGGTTTATCTCACAATTCATTAAAATATAAATTAATATTTAGGCAATCCTCAATTTATGACCACAATTCGGACCATTTTAAGATGAGGACCCATGTAACCAGTCCTGATTTTATGACATTTTTGTGGCAGTAACTAAGTGAATCACTGCAGTCATTAAGCAAATCCATAGTCATAAGTATGACGCCATTCTTCCAAATTGACATCTTTTGCTGAAAACCAATAAAAAATGCCAGAAACCTGGAAAAATATTGCAAATTACAATGTCTCATCTGACCGTGGGACTGTCCTAAAAGCAAGCTGGGCCCATTGTAATTTCAAATGGTTGTTAAACAACTGGTCATAAGTCAAGGCTACTTATATATTGATGATATTTCATTGCTTAATTTCTGAAGATCAAACTTCAGTTGTGGCCTTGTTGTATTTCATATAAATGAGATGCTGAATTTTATGCTAACTAGTTTAGGTCAAAATTGATGCCAATAGTCAAAGATTTGTTTTTCAATATAAACCTTATTCTTTGGGATAGGGTAAACTTTCTCTAAAATAAATAGAATACATTTTGCATGGAATTAATACACATGCACACACATGCATGCATGCATGCATATATGGAAGACATTTTTGAAAACTCAGTACATAATTCCATAAATATGGGGTTCTTCAATTCTGAAGATATCTTTGAAAATGCTGTAAATATAAGTTAAAGATGAGGATTTGGATTTTCTTAATCCTGAATTACATTTTTTTTCTACACTTTTCATACTATTGTTCACCTCAAAAGGAACAGTAGATTGGATATGGAAACATTTGTATTTTAGACATCAATATATAAGTAAACAGATTGAACAAAATAGTTATTTAAGGATGTAAAAATAAACATATAAATTCGCAATTGAATTATTCACATAAATCAATTTCTGTAAGAGTTTTCAAATCCATAATAATTTAAATCATTTTTCCATTGCATTCTTTTTAAAATAATACTTAAAAAATCCATAATATCCCATAAAGAATGAACAGATAGACACAACTGTGGGAATAAATTCTTTTCAAATTCTATTACAGTTAATTAGAGTTTCTCAAGACCATTCATTCATTTCAATGGAATCTGCACAGGGAAATTTCCTAGTGAAGTGAGATGATTTTCAGGAATAGTTTAAACACAATCCTTCTGTACAAAAATTTCTACTAATGTCCGGAATGGAGGCTCTGGCTGCTTTAAAAAACTCAGTTTTTCTTCTTCTGACTCCCCTGTACAGGAACTTAAAGTGCCAGTTGGTGAGTCTTTGCCTTCGTAATTATATGCATGTAAATACTCTTTAGCCAGATTATGTTCTTCATCTTCTCCACAAAGAAATACCATCTGGACAAGGAACAATAAAAGTATAATTATTTTTTTAAAATATACATATGATGCAAAAATAAGTTGTCTTCTAATTGTCTGTTTCAGTCATCTATATGGTATATACTATATTTCACACATATAATAAAATGATTTTTTTTTAAAAAAAATCTCTTTTGGAAGAATGCATTGTTTTATTTGAAAGAATACAACTATAAATGTACTGTTTTATTTGAGAGAATACAACTATAATTGTAATTCTGACCTAAGTTATATAGCTTGTCTTAAATATCAGCATTATGTTTTTCAAGTCAAATATTGAAAGCATGTTACAGCTGTTTTCCCCATCTGGTATATTCTAGATGTATTATCTTCAGGTCTCAGATTCCCTATGGTTGTGGGAATTGATGTAAATGTTTGTGTGTGTTACCAGAATGGGAAAACATGGATTGCTGCAAAATCTGGAAAATTGTGCTGATTTTCATCATGCTTCCTGCCTCACTGTTCATGTTGTTTTAGATAGTTGATATACTATTTTTATATCAATGGTATAATAATCCACTTTGGATTATTTTTAAGAACTGTTATACAGAGTAGTACCTTAAAATTAATGACATAAGACAGCCCGTTCTTTCCAAATTTGTAATACTCAAAACTAGTTTAGAAATCTATGTCAGAATACTTACTTCAGATAAACGAGGGTTAGAGAACTTCTGCCATTCTAAACAGAAATCTCTGAATGAATTCCTTAAAGAAGGCGTACAGTCTTGTAAAGATAGTGCCACATGATTCATTTTTCCTCCTTTGATTAATTCTGATGTGGAATGCCATCCTCTTTTTCCTGCTTCCATATGTTTCTTTTCAGTTTTTACTACATCTGTATTCATCTTTATAAATTCATTCATTGTTGGCACAGGAAATATATTTAAATTCTGGAATGTGAAGAATAACAATAGAATTT